GGTCAGACTCATCTACAGTCCTGCCAAATTTCATGTTGATCGGTGCAGCCGTTTTTGTGCTACAGTTGACCAAAAAGCACTGAAAAAAAAAGTATGAAAACAATATGATTCCCGCTTACGATTCGCATGTGGGGGTCATAATAAAGTAAATTGAATATCAAAAGAAATACTGAAAATATTAAAAATGTACAGGTGTATTAAAGTAAATGTAAATGTACAGATGATCTATTTTCACATGTTTAGGGAGGAGTTATAGAGTTTAATGGCCACTGGTAGGAACAACCTCCTGTGTCGCTCTGTCGTGCATTTTGGTGGAATGAGTCTTTAATTGAACATTCTGACTCATTACTGTGTTGTAGAGAGGATGGTAAACATTGTCCATGATTCCCCGCAGCTTTGCCAGCATCCTCCTCTCTGACACTGCTGTCAGGGAGTCCAGCTCTATTCCCACAAGTTTACTGAGTCTGTTGGTATCTGCCACCCTCAGTCTGCTCCCCCAGCAAGCAAGAGCATAYAGGATGGCACTCGCCACCACAGACTCATGAAAAATACTGAGCATTGTCTGGGAGATGTCAAAGGACCTCAGACATCTCAGAAAGTAGAGACYACTTTGGCCTTTCCTGTAGATGACCTCTGTGTTTTTGACCCAGTCCAGTTTATTGTCAGTGTGTACCCCCAGGTATTTATAATCCTCCTCTGTGTCTACATTGACCCCTCTGATGGACATAGGGGTCACAGGTGTGTTGWTCCTCCTCAGGTCCACCACCAGTTCTTTTGTTTTGGCCACATTGATTGTAGGTGGTTCAGCTGGCATCCTTCARTTGTTGTCCTGTACTCGTCCTCATCACAGCCGCTGATACATCCAACTATTGCTGAGTCATCAGAAAACTTCTGAAGATGCCAGGCCTCTGTYCAGTYGTTGAAGTCTGTGYTGTAGAGTGTGAAGAGGAGAGAGGACAATACCTTGTGGGGCTTCGATGTTGCTGYCCAGTCTGTCGGACACACAGTTCTGTAGTCGTACCTACTGTGGTCTGCCAGTCAGGTAGTTCGTAATCCAGGACATGAGGGGGGCATCCAGTTTTATCCCTCTCAGCTTGTCCCCCATGAGAGCAGGCKGGATTGTATTGAATGCACWGGAYAAGTTGAAGAACAAGACTCTCACAGTGCTGGCTGGCTTGTCCAGGTGGGCGTAGACTCYGTTCAGCAGATGGATGACGGCGTCCTCTACTCCTAGYTGAGGCTGATATGCAAACTGAAGGGGGTTGAGGAGRGGCTGGASTATGGYYCAGAGCTGTTCCAAGARSAGCCTCTCCATGGTAAAGAAGCCACTGCAAGTAATGTGACACAAAATGGTTTCTGCAATTGTGTTTCATGTATGTGACACCAAACAACAAACAAATAATCGGTGCCCCTTCCCAGGCCAGATAGTCTTATATTCCTAAGTCACAAAGTTTTGCTAGTGTGCATTTTTAAATGTTGGTGTGCCACATCTGTTGTTTACTGTGCATAATGTGTACACATTATGCACACAATTACACACCCACACACTTTCAGCTCTATAGAACTAAGGGCACTTGGTACACTGCAGATCTTTTTTGAGCTGTCCTGTAAAAAACCWTTGCATGCAAACCTATGCATTGTTGTGGTTGATTTCTCAACTAAGGTGTGAATTTCAAGCAGCTGATCTTCCTGTTTCCCTCACTGTTTCACATTAACGTAGTGTTTTCTCGTGAAGACCAGTACAACAAGTGGTTTATTATGACCCCCGCACGCGAAGCGTAAGCGGGAGTCATTTTGTTTTCGTACTGTTTTTTTTTTTCTCCAGAGGTTTTTGGTCAACCATAGCACAAAAACGGCTGCACCGATCAACATGAAATTTGGCAGGACTGTAGATGAGTCTGACCTACACTGCACCAGCCAACGGTTTTACAATAGACCCCGCATTTGAGGAGGGGGCTCCTTTCAAAATGGGGGTGTCTGCAAAAATGCATATAACTCAGAAACTGTTCAATATAGAAGCTTCAGATTTCTTTTGTTGTTCAGCACTGATGAAGCTCTATCCATCAGGCCCAACAATCAGTGCCCCCCACCCTCCTACCCCCTGGACCCCCAATGTTTTGAAAAAGGGGTCTCTGGACATACAAAAATGGTTATAGCTAAAAAAATATTTTAAACTAAGGAGCTTCAGATTTCTTTTGTTGTTCAGCACTGATGAAGCTCTATCCA